ATTATTGAATAACAGACAATGGTCTTCAGTCTGAAAGGGCAAAAAATTGTTGGAGCAACTTTTTTCAGACCTGAAACAAGAGACGTTAGCTTCCTTCTGTTTTTCATCATGGAATCTGTCATCCCTGCTAACCTCCTGATCTTCTGTCTTGGGCTTAAATCATAGCGATCCCCTTTCAAACAGTTTTAAATGAATGCCTTGCAGTCAGAACATGACCTTATTTTTTCATCCAGATGGTACAGGATTGCTGCTTTGTTGGGGTTGCTTCTTTGCAAAGTGTAAATGATTGTGATCGGTACCAGAATGCTTTGGGTCTGTGCTTTCACACTTTTTTTAAAAAAAACAAATTTTAAGAATCATTGCACTAATGTCTCTTGTCTTTTATTTCCTATTTTTTCTGCACCAAGCACTCCTATCTGGACAGGGAAACCTCCCTGATTCTGAAAAACATTGCAGGAAAGCCTTCTCACTTGCTGACCAAGGTGACATCTCCCTCTTCTGCTGCATGTGATTCTGCTCTATAGGTAGTGTGCATAACCCCACCCCTTCCTCCTGTGAGCCTGCCCCTTTTTCATGGTGTCATGTTGCCAGGCTTGGAACAGTGAATGTTAGTGAGTGCTGTTTCCAAACTTTGCCTGCTACAGCAGCTGTGCACACACCTCTGTGAAGCAGTATTTTCTTAACTCAGGGCTGATGTAAACATTTTGATTTATTATTGACTCTATCTATAGGAGAATCCCATACTGGATACTTTTGGGCTGCAGTTTCTTGGTAGCAGTTAATAGATAATAGATTAGGTCCCTGTAAGGAAATTATTTGCTGGACTTTTGCATGAGTCTATGCATACGGGGATGTAGTTAAATCTCCATATGATGTTAAATGAGCCACACATCCATAGAATTAAGTCTGAATATGGCCCTGCAGTATCATCAGAATGGTATCCAAACTGATCAATCCTCATTTCTTTGTTCTTAACTTAAACACGTGCCCAAATCTGTCTTTTAAATAGCTTCAACAGGTTGCTGCAAGTGTTGAGTGAAGTAGAAATTGTGTGGCAAACGGTTATTGTCATGCAAGGTTAGTTTAATACTAAAAAAAACTTCTCTAATCCTATCCTATACATTATATGTGAGAACAGTGAAATAAAATTTGTTTTGGTACCTTAAGAAAACCAATCAAAATGGTACCATTTCCATTTCCATGTGCTTTAATATAAATGCTTTATCGCTTAATTCACAAATAAAACAAAAATAGCTTTAAATTACAGGCATCAGGAGAAAGGGGCTTGTCTCAGCTACCAGTCATCTGTTCTTTTTCTGCTTTTCACCCTCCTTCTGTCCTTACACTCTGTGCATCACTGTGCCACCCTCTCCTGCTCCTTGCATGCCTCCAGTGAGACTCCTTCTCACTCCCAGAAGACCACAAATGCACTTGTCCTGTGCATTTCAACATCCCTTCCCACCAAACTCGTGAGTGTACCTCCCGTGATCCCATGATGCTGCAGCATTTAAATTATTTGGCGTCTTCTTGAAGTGTCCTGACATGTTGCATGAGAGTGTCCAGGTGCATGCCGTTTCCCGTACTTACCATTATAAGATTTTATATGCAAAGGTTTTTGTTACTGGTGTATTCCTTTTGCCCGTTTCACTCATGGTGACTCCAAATGAAAGAGGTGCCCCCCCCCGTGTTAGATGAGAGCACTCGTGAATGGTGTTCACAGTTTGGGAGTTTCAAAGAGGTGTCTGCTTTCTCAGCAGTGTTTCTTTGTGAATTAACTGGAAAACGAAGGACTGCATCTGATGAGATCCGCTAGTCTCCAGTAGAGAACAACTTGTGAGGATGCCTTTTAGAGATGGCTGTTCGAAACTGGTTTTAGTGCCTGGCTTCCACGGACTCCTGCCAGAGTACTGGAAAATGGGACTGAGAGAGTGAAACCGGCTTTGCAGTGAATGAGCGGCTCAGGCACCCATGCCAAGATTGCAGGATAGACCGCGGCACCTTCTGTCACGTGCCAATAACGGCCAAGCTAGAACACGGGAATCATAATTGTAATCGTTAGGCTCTCAAAACGGGAGCCGGTTAGAAGACTTTACCACTCAACAGCGACTCAAAGGTGGTGTCAATGTGAAGTACTTTGTCTTTGCTCTTCATTTTCTCCCATCTTTCTTTCTGCAAACTACCGCTTTGAAGTTTTGCTTCCAAAACTATATGTAGCACTTTTGTCTTGCACACTGCCTCCTTCCCTTCATACTGTGCATGCAGCAATAGTGCCAAGTTTCTTTTGATGATCAGTAGATCATAAGTGGTGTTATTCAATAATATAAATGCATAGAAAAGCAGTGCACAGGCAACTGAAATAATTACTAATACTGTGCTTTTTTTTAAAGTCTGGTGCGACATGCAGTGCTGGCACTTTCTACTACAGATTCATTTTCAGCACATATTAAGGTAAAATAATTGACAAACGTTTAAATCCAGCCTAGGTCATGATATTTTTTACCGTACTCTGCAGTGCAAGTGTTAAATGGGTTCGGCCAGCTGCAATATCGAAATGTTTTAATCTTTCTGCTTGAAATATTTGATGTGATTGGCTCGCCGAAGAGTGGCAGTGTATGCCAGCTGATTTGCTCTAATCCTCTTTGGCTCAGAGCGCTAAGCGGCATCAGGACTTTTCCTTCCTTCTCTCTCTCTCGCCTGCCCGTCCCCGTTTTGTCTCTCTCTTTCTCTGGCATGTGTGCGCCTCTTTCTACTCCTCTCACGCACCAGACGGCAACACCTGACAGCCCCCGGCACCTCCCATTATGCCTTTAGGGGGCTACACCTGCCCAGCGTGGTATTATCTAAGGCACCGCATGATGAAGGACTGGGAGCGGTTTTGTCATCAATAATTAACGGCACTGATCAAACCTGACATGATGTTGTCGTCTGTGCTAAAGGTGCTTAATTTCAGCTCTTGAGGGGGGGGTGTGTGGCTGAACAAGTGGATTAGTACTTCACACCCCAATTTCGTTTTAGACATGCGAAGTACAATTTATCTAATTTGCACTAAAATCCTATAAGCATTATCTGCTTATCTGTAAACAGTAAATAACTTGCACTCTGCTTCTTTGTTGCCAAGAAAGGCTCTTTTGCGTAGAATGTTTTTAAATTGCCTTTTTAGTGCCAAGTGTGCATTTCTCATTAGAACAGAATCTCGGGATTGTACAGCACAGTGAAAGGAAGAACTGCATTAACGAGCACAGCAGTTAGCGGAATGATTAACGCCAGATCTCTTGCGCTTTGAAGTCGAACCTGGCAGGTTTATTTTCTGTTATTTTCATGTGAAATAACTTCTCTCTCTGAAGAGGGGAGGGGAAAAAAAATCCGCAAAACGTCCAGGTTTTATAACACGTTTGATGTACATCGTCGCCTCTGCCGTGTGACTTGCTTATCTAATCAAAAGCAGAAGGACATTTTCTGTTCCTTTTGTAAGGAGATTAAGCATTATGTTCACACATCTAAATGGCAATCCCAACTGAGCTCATGTAAGTCATAACATGAAATTCTGCACACAACAATAAGCAATCTGTAAGAGCTTCGAAGCTTCTATTTTCAGAGTATAGCAAAACCTGAAAAAATAGTTACATTCAAAACACCTTTTTAACACTTTAACACTGTTTAGATTTCAGTATTAAGGCATGGAAGAGGTTCTGTGGACTTTTTCTGATATGTTGCTAATTCTGTTTAAATCTCTGATGCTTGCTAAGGCATCAAAGCAGAAAATCAGTCCGGGAGGAGGGGTGGGTTTAGAAGCTTGGGTCTTAATACCTTAAAACCCGCCGCTGCTAAAAGCCATGAATCCGTTTCTACACAGCTGGCTGCTGAAATCGTCTGCTCTTTACCTGATTGGGTTCAGTGATAATGTGTCTGTGCCACCCCACCCCCCTTCAGCATACAAGCTGCCCGCACACTTTTGTGTAAGGGGATTAGGCGGAGTGACTCGGCACGTTCCAGGAGCTCCACAGCTGGTGCTGGGTTGCAGAGGGGGTACCTCCGCCAGCGGGCAGCCAGACAGCGCCAGCGTGGAGTCCCGTCGCGAAAGCCGTGAAAGACGCCTTCTCTGCCTACTCTTGGTTTCCTTGGGCCGAAATGTTTTCCTGAGGCACAGCTGGCACTGTTGATCTGGAGATTTGGGGGGGAAAATAAGAACACTGCTGGTAACCTCACTGACGAAAGAAAGGGAGAGCCGTGTACCTGTGTTTATTTGCTTTTTCCCTGGGAAGACAAAGGGCAATTTCAGGCTTGTTTCCATGGCATATTTATGGCTGGGTAACCTAGCTGCTTCTCAAAGCAATAAATAGGCATGAAAAAACGATCGTCTGAAACTTCAAACATCGGGATAGTACACTACAACCAATGCTGGGAGGAAGGTTGGAGTTTTTAATTGAGGACGGTTCTGGATTTTCTGGGCAGCAGTGGACCTCTTTTCTACTGGAACAGCTCTCTCGAAGGAAGAAAACTGGTTTGCGCTTGCTTCACGAAATCCCTGGGAGGGGAGAATGTCTAACAGCCATCTCTAAAAGGTTAAGAACATGAGGGTGTTCTATAGACCCCCCGCGTATATTGGTCAGTGCCACAAGCTTCGCCTTCTGCACTCGGAGTGACTGTCAGCAGCTTTAAAAAAAAAAAGTCCAGAGAAACACTGCTTGGTAAAAGAGGGTTTACTATGGCGGCGTGCTGGAAACGTCAGGTAAGTGTCATGCTGTGTGCTCTGTGAATGCCGAAGGCACATCGTCACTTTTATGGGGACACACTATTGGACACTGTGTCCCAGTGGCACATTGTAAGGAATCACTTCTGGCTGTGGTGTGTGTGTGTGGTAGCTAATGAGAAAACAAACCATACTCAGGGGAAAAAAGCCATTCCCTCTTTGAATTCTTTCAGCCATGTCTGTGCCAGGAAATCTCAGGCGCTGGTGGCTGTGGCACTCCGCTTAAATCTTGTGTGTTGTACGTCCGTAGGAGGAGCAGGCTGCCAAACTGAAGGCAGAGAAGATCCGTGTGGCTTTGGAGAAGATCAAAGAAGCGCAAGTCAAGAAGGTGAGGGGCCTACAAAAAGTTCATGCTGGTGTTTGCACAGATTATTGTGGTTGAAAATGTATAGTAGAGTGAATACAAACCCACATATAACTACTGCAATTAAGCTTAATATGGGGAGTTACAAAGTAAAACCCACATACACTGCAAGTGAAAGCAGTTCTATAAATATGGAAACATCACAGGTTTGTTCTCCCTTGAAGAAGGCTATTAGTATACTGTATGTGCTTTTAAAGACGTGCATAGTGTAGGAACTGATCGGGTATTTCTGCTCTAATCGCAAACAAAAACAAAAAAAAGGAACCCTGAGCCCAGGCTCTCATTCTGTAGTTTTGGCAATCGTGATGGTTGGGCATGTTTTTCAGTCTGTCTGAATGACTGGATAATTGCAAGTCCTGTATTTCCAACAATGATGAGAATAACACAGAAACTGTTCTGCTAAAAAAAAGTCTTTGTGATCAAGATTTTTTCAAATTGTTGAAAACTGTCAAAAATACCTTATTGTTTCATCAAACAGAATCATACCTCACGACGTGTGGTGTCACAGATACAACGAGTGCAGGATGATTACATTGCTGTATGTTTATATCTTATAGTCTTATACAATGTCTGCAGTGTATTGTACTTGAATAAATTAACTCACCTTCTTTCTTCAACACTCAGCTGGAACCAAGTCAAAATTGCAGATCGGCTCCAGTGCTTCCATGCTCTAGAAGGGAGTTCTTTCCCTGTGCTTCAGCAGGGCAGTGACAACGGCCACAGCCTTTCAGGACTATAGACTTACAGTAATACAAGCAAAATCCAAATACAGTAAATAGGTCAACACAACACAATGAAAGAGCGGCTGTTATTGTGGACAAATTATACAAGGTGGACACAGTTAATAGTGCCTTAGTTCTCTGCTCTTGAGCTTTAAAACACAAAGGCAGAAGACCGCAAGGGGATTTCCACATTAATCATCGCACTCAGAAATATAGCTCTCTATTTGTACAGAGAGAATTAAACTGGAAGGACATGGTAAGCCTCAGTTTACACTAGGTGGACATTGCAGTTAGCTACATGCTGACTCGGCAGTAATAATTCTGCATCAAGTATTGAAAAATGAAAGTTAATACTTTTTGCCCTCCTACATTGCGGACGACAGCTATGAGTGTAACACGGCTTTTCTAATCTTCACATGGTTTCTTGGCTCCACTCTGTATCTTGAAAGGACAACCTTTTCCACTCTTTTCTAGTGCTGATCGGTTATATATACAGGCTTATAATATATTATAGCAGTGACATACTGTATACAGTTGCATATACAGTATATATATATACGTAGCAGTGGCAACCCGTTCAGAAACCCAACTATCTGAAAATCGCGTCGTTAATTGCACTTTTCCTGAGGAAGTCTGCATCTGGAGATTAAACTCTGTCATCTGGGCTTTAAACTTTTCATCCCCGCCCTCCGTTCCTGATGACGGTACATGGCCTGAGCCAGCCGACCTCTAAATTGATGAAATGACCCCTGGAAGCATGTCCAGTCATCTGTTCCATGGAGATTTTGAGTACCGTGGAACGACTATATTAGAGGGGAGAAATGATCTTTCCGATTATCTCTGTAATCCCTTGTTCAGGAATTCAGTTTAGGAGGACTCCCGGAAGATCTCAATTCATTTTTAATTCCTTAACGATTAGATAACATAATCTGAATTTATTATAATATTTTGGGCTCTGGGCTTCGAACAAGAAACGTACAAGAATGCATGCTTTGTTTTTCTGTCAGAAGCGAGGCTGCTTAGAGAGCTATTGGAAGAGGCCTGCATGCCTAGATTAAAGATTTACCAAGTAAAGGCTTCTGCTTTTTAATCAGGTTGACACTGATCACTTTCCTCAAGATTAAGCCGTCTTTAAAAATCCATCAACAGACATTTAACAGCCTTGGCCTCATTAAGAAAGCACAAATATGCAAGTCAGCCCTGTCCTGGTGTGCTTTTCTGATCCTTTTTTTTTAAAAAGTGTTATCTTCTATTCTGGCCTGAATGCTATAGTGAAGATTTTAATCTTTTACCAGGGAAGCATGGCATCAACATAGTGCTGAGCAGTACAGAATCATCTGTGTTGCCTGAAATATTTTACCGCATTATAATGTGTTGTAATCTATTGCATCTGCTAAAATGTATTTTAAAAAGTGTCTTTTTACAGCTCCACACCATTTAAGCATGTAAAGAGGAGAATGTGTAGTGCTTAGGTGCATGCTCACAGTGTGAACATATATTTCCCATATACTGTACCTGTTTTTACGTTTTTACCAACTGCTGAGGTTTTCAGGAACATACTGTAACACATCTGGTTGCCAAGGAAAACCTATACTGCTTTTCCAAAATGCCCCAGTTCCTACTTCACATGCAACTCCTTCATTTTTGGGGGGCATTTTGGTTTTTGATATTCCTTTTAATTAAGCTGTGCACCTTTAAAGCAAAGATGAAGTTAATTAACAAAAAAAACTGCTTTACTTGATGAGTGTTCTGTATATCATTCAGATGAGTAAAGTACGCTTCCAATGCAAAAAAAGACTTTCTTGTTTCATGGTTATGCTATAATGTTTTTCAATTAATGAATGAAGATATCATTAGTCCTGATTCAAGTGTGACTTTAAATCTGACTTTAGATGTTCCATACAGGAGCTAACTAACTTAATCCCTGTGGCAATCGTAAATGATATCCTTTTAACAAAACTAATCTGACAGTACTGTATGTTCATTTGTATTGCATAGATTTTATTTAGAATTTTAAAGTTTAGGAAAATAACTAAAGTATTCCGTTTACATAAGATGCACCCATGTTTCAGATTAAAGATAATTTTAGCTTAAAATGATGTAGGTGTCGAGCCTCTAAAGGCCTTTCTAAACCAGAAAATCGCAGTTTTGTACTCTGTTGTTCTCTCTACAATTGCTAGCCTTTACTTGCTTTAAGATCTAGGGTCATAACTTAAGCCTCAGAAAGTCTGTTTCCATTGACAAGTATTTAGATTGATAAATATTAGTAGATTTACTGTACTTGCAAAATTGTCATGTCTTTTCTGCAGGATCAAAATACTTTTCAACAGTTTGATTTACTGTTGAAATACATAAAGGAATTCACGAAGACCCTGCAGAATCCCTGTGGCAATATACCGCAACCTGGACTGTTAGCGATTGTATTGGTTTGTTTTTTTTTTATCCTCACTAATCTGTTGTGACTCCGGACTTCTCTTCCCACCTCAGCTGGTGATCAGGGTGCACATGTCAGACGAGAGCTCGAAAACCATGATGGTGGATGAAAGGCAGACGGTCCGACAGGTTCTGGACAGCCTGCTGGACAAGTCCCACTGTGGATATAGCCCTGACTGGGCCCTAGTCGAAACCATCCCAGAGCTACAGATGGGTAAGTGAAGCGCACTCTGCTCCTTTCCAGCATTTGAGTGTATATTTAGAACTTCTCACTGGTGACACTGGAGAATGTTCACTCCTCATCTTTTTGAGAGTGTACACTACTCTCGTATTCATCCCACTCTTCCTCCGAACCATAATTGAAGGAGACAAACAAAAATTATGACTGCACCAGTCTCCACCCTTATACAAGTGGGTTCCTGGCGTCTGAGTGTCTAAAAACTGTTCAAGCAGATAGTTGCAGAGTCTTCAATACATTTCAAACAAGAAAAGTTCTAAAACGGCTTCCTTAAAGTGCTACCAAAAACCCAGCTACCAGTTGATTAGCCCCATGCGAGAGAGTGTAACTTCGAGTTTGTAACTAACACTAGAGATGCCCCATATCTGTCAGGAGTATTCCTCACGCGAACTCGGAAGGTCACGATGAGTACAGTCTGCTACATCATTTCTAAAGCAGGACACCAAGGAAAGGGTACACCATAACTGGAGGGGGTTTAATCTTTTCCTGTAGATGTTTTTGCTATCCAGCACCAATAATTGAATCGACCGATTACCACTTATTATGTCTATTTAGAAATGATAGAAGTCACGATGGTGTATC